ACTTCCCATCTCGGAGTGTGTGGTTCCAGCAGGCATTGCAGCTGGCACCGGCGGCACAGTGGGTGCCGCGCTTGGGCTGGGCGATGCAGTGACATCGGCTGCAGAACAGCAGTCGAGTTGATGACCAGCATCGTTCGGACAACAAAGCCCTCCCAATCCCAACGCAGCGCACTTCTGATTGCCAGAGCACTGCCTGGAAGGGGTGCAGCAATCCAAGTACTTCCCGATTGCGTTGGGGCAGCAGTCCCCCACGAGGTTCAGGACTGCACACTCCGGAGTTGCCGAGCACGATTGCGAGGAGAAGCCCAAGGGTCTCAAGGGGAGCAGCGCGAAGACCAAGCCCAAGGACCGCATCCTTGCAGCCATTGCGACCTGAACCTCAGCCCTTGCTAAACTAAGCCACAAAAAAGCTGCCGAAGGACTGGCTTAGATGCCAAAGGAGAAGCATGAGCGTCTGCTCAACCACATGTTTGGCCAAAGCACGGACCTTGAGTCGCTCGTCCAGATCTCGCATTTGAAGCTCCTCCTGGGTGCAAGTAGCGGCAGGTATGGAATCCGCCCCGCCGCGTTGCAACAAACCCACAACTTCTCGACTTCTCGTTGCGTCCTGACGCGCAACGCGTTCGGCCTCCTTCTGACGGCCCTTGGCTGATGCAGCCGATCTCAGGGCCTGCCAGGCCGTGCTCCACTCGTCAGCTGGAGGTCGCAGGAATTCACAGCCAGCCTGTCGCATCTCGTCCTTAGATAAAGCTAGTGTTGCTTGATGCGCTGCTCGGGTGCACAGTTTGCCCCGCGCTGCAAGAAATGCTCGAAGCCGGGCTGCTTGGACACATCTGGCCTCACTCTGAAACATGCGAAGCCGCTCTAAACAGCTACATTCCGACACATTCCGAACTGGCGTTGGCCTTCGTACAGAGATTTCCTGTCGTTACTGTCGCTCATTCTCGCAGCCCACAACTCGTGGCTCGGATCGTCAACTTCCGGTCGTGCTACACTTGCAAAGCAGACTTCGGGCAACATGTCTGCTTCTAACTCTTCAAGGTTCAAGGTCTCATCTGAAGGAAGCTGGGGCACCGCACTCGGCGCTCTGCCTCGTCGCGACCGCTCTCGGCCATGGCCGCTTGGCTCTCCAGCTCCGAGGCTTTCCGCCTCCAGCCTCCGGTCGCCACACTGGACCAAGTTTTGCAGTCAGAGGGCCTTTAACAGTTCCTTACTGTACTTTCTTTTCAGGAGGCCCGCTCCAAGCTCTAGACTCTGGCCACGCACGAGTGTGCTGCTCCAGGTGTCGGTTCGGGTATCGAGCGTTGCGGGAGCGCTGCGTGCGCACGAACCCTCTTCCCAGCCAAAGAAAGGACCACGCATGACCAAATCTACGTCCTACTGCACTGGGCATTGCGGCTATACGGCTACAGCATGGCATCTTGAGGTTCGCGCGTGTGAGGTGTTCCTGGCATGCCGTGAGCTCGGCCTGAGTGTCTTGTTGCTCTGCCTCGGGCATGCGACAACTGCAGTCTGTGTATCTAAGTTCCTGCATGGAAGTCCGGAGTGCATGGCAAAATACACACACTCTACCCTAGGGAAATCAAGTCAGAGCGCCTGCAGTTGCGAGTGTTCCGCCAAGAGAGACATGAGCTGGTGGTGCTGCTGAGCTTGTACCTCTGAGGCAAACGTGTTCAAAGCTCGATTTGTATGCAACCACTGATTCACGGGACAAAGCCCACAAATGCTGCTGCTGCCTGGTACTGTTTCCAGGTGCTGTCTGCAGCATCCTTAGGCGCGGTGTCAAATTGAAGCAGAGCCGAGAGCCTCGCAAAAGACTGTTTAGGCCCTCAAAAATCTCCTCCGCCGAGCTTCGCCCGGCACCGCCGTCGCCTCCCTGCAATTGCAAAACGACCACGGCTGTGTAGACCCAGGTCAACAAGCTGCAATCGGAACTTTGGAAGCGATCGGAGGGACAGGTAGGCAGGCAAAGACATTGACTGGCAGAGACTAGCAGCTAAGCAGCAAGTTGAGAAGCCGAGAAAGACGAGAGCGGAATGACAGATGCGGAGGCTGTCCTAGCCAACCCGAGTAGCGGACACGGCGAGGTATGATCCGAATGGCAGATACAAATCCGCTTGACGGAGCACAGCACACGGCATGCTATTCAGATGTTCTCCGACCTGCCAGCGCTGCTGCTGTCGGCCTTCTGTAACCTGGCTGCACCGAGGTCTTGCTTCTGCGGTATCAAGATGGAACTACCGCGCACCTCTTTGCCAAAAGCTGCGATTGCAAACCAGCGATTTCTTCGCGGAGCTGTTGCAGCTCCCGGATCATGCCGCTCTTCTCCTGGCGAGGCCGGGAGGCTTGATGACACAGAGATCATTCGTCGTGGGTGAATGCCAAGACTTCGCGAGCCTGGCCTGTTGCCAAGCCTCAGACTCCTCCCCTGAGTAAAAACTGGCACACACTCGACGCTCCTTAAGGCCGGACAGTGACATGTCCGAGTTCTGGGCTTAGGCGTGACTCCAAGAGCCTTGCTTCAGCTTCGGCCTGTTGCCTGGCCAGAACCTGCGTGCACGGCGTGCGCATGATCTCTGCAGTCTGCAGAACATACACCGTCGGAGAGCCGAACGTGAATGTGTAAGGGCGATAGTAACCTATACTGCTGAAATGGGGCGGCTGCGGCTGACCTGCAGTTTGAATGAGTTTTAGACGGCTGGCCTCAGCACCATGAAACCCCTGTGTAATGGCTGATCGGGCAGATGTTCTGCACTCTCGCGTTGCTGTCAGGTTTCTGCTAGATTTGCTAGGAGGAGGGTCATTCTTGTTATCCTTTCGCTTTCCCATGCAGACCCAGCATTTCGCCTCCGGCAGTCTGTACTGTACTGTTCATAACGGGCCAATAGAATTACACTTCGTGCGGCAAGCTGTGGTATACGTGTTGGGCTGTCCAAAATGTCGGAAACGTGAAATTCCGATAGAGAGACGGTCACAACAAACTCGCCAAACGTCGTGCGGGCGCTTCATGCTACAACCTTCCATCTCCATGCGTGACCCGAGAACCAGCGCCAGAATATGCAAATGCTCTGCACACACACACACACACAAAAAAAAATCTAGGCACGACGGGCCAAAAACACAATGGCTGACAGTGCATAGCACACAATCGAGAGCTCGTCCCAATGCCAGAGCATGCGCCAACGACCTGTAATAACCCGAATCAACTCGACACGGCTGCAGTCAAAAACATGAGCTCTAACATCCCAGTAGATGTAGTATTCTGTCCAGCCTAAAGCCACAAGCACGATATTGAACCACGTTCCGTCAGTAAATGGCCAGCAGGCCTCCATCACATGAAGAACAGTGTGGAATCTGTTTCAATGTCAGCACAAAGTCAGTGCACAACAGTAGCCCAAAGAATAGAAGACAGCTGGAGCCAGCCAGCCCCGAAAGCATGTCTAAGCAACATGACAAGGAACTGCAATAGTGTAGCAGTGTAGCATGCAAACAGAAACAGAATCGACTGGCGCCACTCGGAACACCGCCAGAGTCACTGCAGCAGGGTTCGTGCGAACATCAATGCAGCTGGAGACAGCAGCAACCAAAACCACAACCACCGCCACGGCAACAACACCACCAGTGACAGCAGCAGCAGCAGCAACGACAACAACGATGACGACGACCACCACGACCACCACCCCAGCAGGAGCAGGAGGCAGCAGCAGCAGCAACTGCAACAACAACAACCACAACAACACCACCACAACCAACAACCACTCCTCCTCCTCCTGCATACTACTACAGTACTACCACCACCATCACCAACACCACCGCTACAACTATTTGAGCAGTTGTCTGGTGGTCTCTCTCTCTGTCTCTCTCTCTCCCTGTCGCTCTCTTTGCTGCTGCATCCTGGTGGTCCTCTGCGTGAGGCAGCATTACACCCGTCATCTTAGCGGGGATGTAGGCTTCCATCTGGATACGGAGTTGGTGCTCGTGGTTGTGGAGGTTGTGATGGGTTTCAGCTGTTGTATAATATTGTTGTTGCAAGTTGTCGTGGTTGCTGATGCTAGTCTAGATCTGAGAGCCATGCTGCTGTGAGACTAATGAAAGTGGTACCGCGAGTCTCTGATTGTGTTGCTAGGGGTCGATACTCGGTCCGGCCATAAGGCGTCCACCTCCTCGCGGAGACGTGTGATGAGAGATGAATACTTGGAGCCTCAGCCGAAAAACAATCAAACCCGTGCTCATGAAGACTGTGCTATCTGCCCTGTGGCATCTGATTTCGAGCTCCTCGGTGCGCAGCAGAGATATTGAAGTCCTTCCTGCCCACTGGACATCTCGACCTCGCGAGGCCGAACACAACATGCGTTCCTGTGCACTTTTAACAAAACCCAATCGCTGACGCAGGGTTCACTGCCTGCGCCTTCATCAACTTGTGGCCGCAGCGACGGCAGAATTGAGAGTCGGCCTGAGGTGCTACAGCGCTGCGAAAGACAAAAAAACCGTAGGCAGTTGTCTCGGGGCACTGCAAGAAGTTTAGCACCGCATTTAGGGCAGTTGCCTGACACCTCCAAGCACGGGGCGGATGCACTCACCAGCCGAGCCTTTTGTGATTCTGGCTGGAGGAACCCAACCTGTGTGAGAGGTTCGCTTGCCTGCAGTCCTTGGACCACTCCAGATCTCTGCAGCATTGCACTGCTGTCTGAAGTGCCGCATCTCCTCTGTCGCACCATCCAGTCATCTCCTGCAGCCGTTCAGGTGCAGCCACCGGGACCATGAACGACATGGCTATGTGGAACATCAAACGAATGCAGGCCCACGCCTGGCACTCTGCACAAGCATGGCTGCAGCGCCCCTCGTTCAGCTACCCCGTGCTGCGAGAGGGCAAGCTGCGGTCGGGGACAGGAATTCATCGCACTTTCCAACATGAAAAGCCTTCGCAGCATGTCCTACCAGACCAGAAAAATTATTGAAAGTGGTGTCTAGTGAAGCGGGTGAGCCCTCAAGGATCAGGCGGCCAGATCTTCAGGATCTTGTCGTCGAACCTTGATGATGGCAAGGGCAGACAGGAGCTCTTGTGCCGACCGCAGTACATCCCTTCCGTGCTGTGCCCTGCAATTGTGGCACGAATTTGAGTGCCCTGCGACTTCTCACCCCGGCTCACTGTAGCCTTTGCCTAAGAAAACATTCTTCAAAGAGAGTCTGCCTCCACTTGCTTGACACCAGTCAATGCATTGTCTGCTTGCGACTCAACGGAATCACGAACACGAGCGGTCAGGCGCGCATGAATCTGCAGTCGCGCAACAATCCAACAGGGATGCAGCTTAGGCCCAAGCATCAAAGGCAGACATCTCAGGCAACGCCGCTTGCCACCTGGCATGCCAAGCTTGGAGAGGCATTGACTTCGGACTCAAAGCTTGCAGCGGCATTGGCTTCGGACTCAAAGCTTGCTTGGAACCTGGGACCCGAACACAGAGATCACAAGCATGTCCGAAAAAGACAGAAACCCTTCTGACAATCTGCCGGCAGCCACCCCGCCCGAAGGACCTCTCCCCCCGAGCCCAAGTCCAGGAAGCACGCGAGCACCTTGCGCACGAGAACACTCGGCTGGGCTCTTCTCGTATGCGTCTGCGATGTCTGCATGCCCCTGACTCAGATACTTATCCCTATGTTGCACGTCCACCTTGGGGTCCTCGAGGATGTCGGGGACCTCCTCCAAACGGCCTCCAAAGGCAGCCAATCTCTTAAATCAGGGAACCAAAACCTCGAAAGGCTGTTCATGCGCCTGCAATGCCACAGCTCACGCCTGCACCGGCCCTTAGAGCCTCTGGCTACAATGTGAAAACATCGGCTTCTGCAGCACTGTAGCCCTGGCCCTAGCTGATGCCCGCGCCTCTCGGATTTTCGTCGGCCCGTGGTCACCTTCGGGCAATCTGTGACGGGCCTCGTGGCCTAGGAGATGGCCTCATCTGGACCTTTGGGGCTGCTTCTCTCTTTTGACCGGAGGGGCTGCTGGCTCTGGACTCTAGACCATATCTGCCCTAGCTTCTATGCCCAACTGGCAGCCGAAACAGTGCCCTGAGAAAGTCCAAAAGCGGTACATTTCGGGCAGAAATGATGCGAATTGGCACCGCTGATTTTGTCGCGCCCAGTTCGCTGGTGCTGTACAAGTGGGGAAGACTCTCGGATTCTGATCGCTACCATCCCGACTGATCCTGAGCGCAGCTGTTCTGTCAGTAGCGACCAAAGAATTTCTATAACCGTGACCGTCTGAAATAGGCGCCTGTGTAGGGATGACGTCGATGTAGACCTTTCACGCTTCAGAAGGAGAAAAGCGTCTACGCCTAACTACCTGGCAGGCAGCACACCAAGCGCGCTGCGCGTAGCATCTGACCCTTGTCTTCAACTTCTTCCGCGTAGCGATATGCCACCTGTGGCATGCTATGCCTACTTCGCGGCGTTGCGTGCTTCTTGCAAAGTCCGCGGTCCGGCAACCTGGCGAGGCTCTCCCAACGCACACCGAAGAAGCGGAAAATGTCCATCGTCCTCCTCACGGACCTCTGAGACATGTTGGAAAACGACTGGCCAAGCCTTTAAATGGGCTCCGAGCGAACCGCACGAAGTTCCATAGTCTATCCTGGGTATGCATCAACGATCCACGGCTTTCCAAGCGATGCTACATGGGTATCCACATGATATGTGGCGGATATGGCAGACTATGGTAGTACTGTACGTACATGTCTGCGGCCAAGTCGCGCTGAGCAACAATGTCGTTGGCGTGATGCGCCCTGCACAAAGAACAGTCTGCAGCTGTTCCGAATCGAAGCTCCTGACTTTCTATCCTCTGAGGCTGAACTGAGTCACTGGGCCCTGAACCGATGCCACCTGCAGAGTCGCTGCTGACCTTGGTTGACTTGGTGCCGAGAGCCTTCCCTGCACCTTCTGCCAGTTCTGAGCTCCCGGCATCCAGCGGAGGCTGGATTTTCACAACCCAAACACCTTCACGTGGAAACTTGGCCTCTCACAACTGTAACTAGTGTGCTCCACTTGATGCGCATGTGCACACGTGTTGTGTGCCAAACTTGTGTGCGCTGCCTCTTTCTCGCGTGTCGCTATGGCAGAGCTAGATGCAGGCCGCCCATCTCTGTAGACCAGTCCTCCGGGGTATTGAGATGAGCAAGTACGGTGGTCAACAGCTCTTGGCTCTTGAGGGCTCTCCTGCTCCTCTGTCTCCGACCTGAGGACACGCATTTATCTGCACACCCTTCCGTCGAACAGGCCAACATCAAAATCAAGCCGTTTCCAAAGCTTTGAGGGAGACAACGGACCCGAGCAGGCCCTGGCACTGGCTTTCATGTAAACCACCCAGGCCACTTGAAGACCAATATCCGGGGAGTCCCGGAGAGTCTGAACATACATTCATGCAGCCAAGGTGCTCCTATGGCTTTCTCACCTTTGCGTGCATCCGACCTTGCATGCTTGCAGCAGCGACATTGTGAGGGGCTCTTGCTACGCCCTACTCTTGCTGTTAGCGATTCGGTTCGACAAGTCGTGCAACGTACACGAATGCGCATGAAGTCCTTAAGATCAGATCCTACTGGCAGACGTGAAACCCGGATGGCTTTCGGCTTTTCTGCTGTCGAGGCTCGGCTTGAGCTGTTCCGCCGCGGACTGAAGCCGAACCGCCCTGCAGTGAGGACATTTCCGCTGGTCTTTCCCGGTTTTGGAGGCTTCTGTTAAAGCTGGGCTTCCGGCACCGTTTTGGATCTCAGTTGGGTCAGATGGCAAGCAAAGCCCAGCACCGCCTGGACAGCGCTGAGGCAGCTGCGCTCGGAGCCCGTCCGGTAGCTGAGCTTCTGCCAAGATGCAGAACCTTTCCCAGCACAGTGGCGCAGAGACTTGCACCGGAGCGCTTGCCGTTGCCACCATTGGAACATCATAATGGAATAGCAGTAACAATCAACCCTTGCCATGAGCAGGCCATACGAAGTGTCAGGCCTCGAGAAGCCACTGAATGAAGCCGATTTGCCTGGCTTGCGGGGACGACGAAGCCATGCTGTCACATCGCGAAGCCTTCAGGACGCCTCGACTCGCCACTTTCCTTGCCAGAGCCGAACCACCCATCGCATGTCGCAGCATGGGAAACATACTGACAAGTGCAGTGGATGGTTTGTGTATATCACTCACTTGCTGTTGCTGTCTTGCCAGTTTGAGCTTGCTTGTCCCGGATGGCTAAACATGACCCTGCCCGGACGTCCGCGGCTCTCTGCATGACTTCTGCAGCCAAAGCTTGGACTCACAGTGTCAAGTGGCCCGTGTCAGTGGAGTTCACCGTGCATGGTTCTGGCATCCGAGCCGGCCTGTGCCCAGCACCCACAAAGGCCTCAGGCATCGCCAGCGTAACTCAGCCTTCTTAGCACAACTCCACACATGCCTCCGTCCGTGTATGTGTGCGCGGGTTTATAGTTCATAGGTGGGTGGGTCCTTCGATTTCCTCGACTGCACCACGCCACCGAAACAAGCAGGCTAGGACCTGGAGTCAACCTGACAAGCATGGGCTCTGCCGCTGGTACCCCGACATGCCTGTTGTCAATTACTAGATGAACTCGAGCAGCCTGAGCTGGCATTGTGGCAAAGTACCAGAAAATTTCTCAGCAATCCCACATGCACTTCATGCGCCAGTTATTGACGAAAGGGCCATGGCTTTTCTGGCAGGCCCATCTTCACTCAAGCACACCTTCCGCTGTACGTGCGATTTAGCGGCCTCACGGGCAACGCCTCTCTGTCAGTTACTTCGGTTCGGGCGCAACACCATCCCCAAACCAAACAAACGGAAGCAAGCCGCAAGGCAACTACGAACGGCGGGGCTTTCCATGGCACACCGCTCAGCCCGATGTAAAATAACTCGCCCAAAACCCCCTCCCCCATGGCACAGCGGCTTCAGCAAGACAACATGGTACCTCGGAAACTGCCTCTACTTGCGGGGTTATCACTTCTCTAATTCCTATACTTGTTGTAGCAACTCGTTACCCCATGGCACAGCGACGCAACTGAACAGCAAAGACCAAATTGAGCCTTTTGATCTGAGCCATCAGAACCGCAAAAGTGCTGAATTATGACTGCACGATTGGCCGTGAACCCGTACTATCCAGCCGGTTAAGAGCCAACAGGCTCAGGTCTGCTCGGTGCTCCGCTAGCAGCCAGGTTGGAGGTTCATGGGTAGCTATAACTGGGGTTATAAGTCCCCTAAGTAGGGTTTAGCTACCCTACTTATAACCCTACTTACAACTACCCATGAGCCTCCAAGTGTGCAAGACATCAACCCCTTTGGCAGGGCCCGAGCCAGGACCAAGCAGGTAGCCGGCTCCTCGGCCATGAAAGAACCTTCGCAACTTGAAAGGAAACTACTGGTGGGGAGTTTAGGGTATATCGGGCTTCTAAAAGGCTTCTATAAGGTATATAGACCCTCTATAAGGCTCCTATAACGGTAAATACCCACCTGA